AGATTTAGCACGCCGCCTCACTCCCTATGGTCGGGGGTTGAATTCCTCGTACGGTACAAACATATGTATTCAGAAATAGAAAAATATAATCTGTCTCATCATCATGACGTTATAGAAGAATTTAAAAATATTATGCAGATTAAAAAAGACAATTACTATTTGATTAATAGTAGACTATGATTGTACTTATCCCAGCTCTCACCAGGAAATAGAAAGCACATGAAGCAATGGTTATCTGTTTAGAAAATCATTTTCTGATCATCGACCAGTCCGTACGTGACATTATTTCAACAAAACTCCGCTTCGATATCTCACGCCATATAGAAATCGATTGTTGATTGGTGTCACTCATCTTATACTTCTACAAAATACAAAACCATTCTTTGGTTGTCTTTAGTAGATTATTTTCAGCAGTATGAAAACGTAATAACACATGGTATTTCGCCATCATGCTACACTTCGAATTTGGGCTATATAATATAATTTTAAACTCTTGCATGGCTCTTAAAATTTTGGCGGGTCATGTAAACCTACAAATATTATATGACCTTCATTATGTACCGTATACGAAATAAATAAAATAATTACATTTCAAATCTTTTTATTTTAGATAATTTCATTTCATTTCAGCTAACGTTTTTTAAATAAATTTTATTCATTATCGGAGTATTATCACCGATGAAAATCTAATTTCAGAACATGTTTCCTAGATATACGTCATCCTATGTAGTTCTATGTTTTTGTGGTACTTATTTGTTTACAAATGTTTTACCTACTTCTATGGTTTTATAGTAAGAAAGTTCATATCAGTTGTTTAATACGTTTGCTATGCTTAGTTTGGGACTAGATGGGGCTGTGCGAGCGGTCCAAATATTTATTTAACACATTTACATTATACTTAGAAATAGGTATGTTGCAATCAACATACCTACTTCAGATAAGGTAAATTCTGTAGAATACAATTACAATTTAACCCTAAATTGGTTATCTAAATTACCATCAGCAACAATAATTATATCAACAATAATAATTATATTTGGCATTATCTCATTGCATAAAGGTGAAACAGTGATTTATCATCATGAAACTTAACAACAGAAGGACAAGCAGTAAGTATAAAAAATGAACGAAATCTCGCCGATGACTCATTTAGAAAGTATTGATAAAATAATTCTTGGTAACGCAATCTGGTGGGCACAACTGACGTACAGGTGTGACATACTATCTTATTACGTACTAGGATTGCTTGCGACCTCGTTCATTCATTCATAATTTAAGAGATGAGCTCTCGTCGGTGGAGCTCCCGCCACCTTCCACGGTCTTCTATCAATCTTTATAGCTGTTGATACGACACGACTCCAACTTTTTCCTTAACCTCGTACATAAATAAATAATGTTGTAGAAAGAGTAATATTTATTATAGTCTATATAACTATTATTCTATGTTCTTATTAGTCTATGGTAAGAAATTATTAGAAGACAATAAACTGAAGACGTTCTCAGAAATGCCTATTATTTGAAATCTATATATTTTTTATTTACTCTTTATTGCACCAGAAGTAAATTACAAAGAACATAAACAAATGTAATAAGGTATAAAAGGCGGTCTTATCGCGTAAGCAATCTCTTCCAGACAACCTTTGGGTAGAGGAGAGAAGACAGGAAGTGGTAGATGGCACAAGAATGGACTAGAGAAGTAAAAAATGTACCTAAATATAACACATCTTGCCACAAATACATATACTTAAAGATTGCCATCTATAGATAATAAACTAAACGATAACAGAAATAGAAATAGAATAGTGTACCTATAACGGAAATAAAGCACTGGTTTCATGGCGCAGTTTCATCGCCGCACAGTCATCACTATGCTTCCAAGATACATCCGAACTCTATTCATTCCCTGATGATGCGTATAGCAATAGAGGTGTAGAATCACATAAACAATGGTAAAAGTATTTCTCATATTTTTTTTTGTAGTTGTTGCATGCTTTAATTTATGTTTTATTTTGTTTTGTATGTGTTTTATTGTGTGTCTACACTTGTAATATTTCTGTCAACAATTGAGACCCTTCTATTAGTTTACGTCTCCATATTGAATAGATTTAAGTTCGGTGTAAAACCAGTCTACGTCCCAACTCCGCTTCGAATACATGCGTTACTAATAAGCCATGTAGCACACTACTAATAAATTTACTAAGGTACAATAAATAGTACAATTATACTACCTGTGTACTCACTACCTACATACTACAATAAACAATAAATTATGTAGCGACACTTATCACATCAAGTATAACGCTACAGTAGTAAGGTGATAACCGTCGTGCTACAATTGTATAGGTTCAGTTTACATTAAGTTCATTGTAAGTGAGTGTCATGTGTTTAAACATCTACCTAATAAATACCATTTCATTTCATTCAATTACGGTCGGAATTTGATCATCAATAGAGAAGGTCGTAACGTTTCCAGTAACTTTTTACGATTTCCAAGATTTACAATTTTATTACATTATAATACCTATTAATAATTATTATTATCGTAGTTGTGTAATTAACGTACTATTTTTTAATAATATATGTGCTATATTACTCTCTATCTATTTTAAACAATATAAGATTATTTCAACAATGCATTCAGATAATACCCTACAAAAATATATTTTTGTACTCCTTTCTAAAATTTTATCGTGAAATTTTGGCAAGAATTTCGCACAAAAAACATTCTAATTGAGTCGGTACAATACGTATATTTATTAGGAAAAGTTCAGTTCTAAAATTTTAAGCTTAAAGTTTGGGAAGAATGGTGCACAAAAAAGTAATTTAGTTGGCACATCCTCCTTTTGGCAGTCGGTTAAGAAGGAGTGTTATAATTGAGCACACTTTCAAGATGAATAATTACAATCGGAAATTCTTACCGTTCCGCAGGGCATGTTTACCGCGCCCCAAGAGACGGCAGCGCGGGCCCGGGGCTGTTTCACACGCTTCACAAATATTTCCAAAATAACCACTTTTATACCCTAACCCAAATTAATAGCCCATTATATTAATTTGTTTTCAATATTATATTTATACTTTATTGATTTCACAAATTACTTTGACGGTCTCCGTGGTCTTGCGGTTTAGCACATTGCTTTACTTCTGATGATCGCGGGTTCGATTCCTCGCACGGTGCAAACATTTGCATTCATGAGTATGAATGGTCTTGATATTTTCTATGTGTATTATATATGTAATTACAAAAAAAAGTATTTATATCAGTTATCTAGTACCACACAAGCTCTGCTTACCGCGCTGTATTAATTGTGGAGGGTTATTTACTATTATTTATTATTTAATAAATAACTTACACATAATAAAAACATGAATAACAAATATTTACAACACAGATTATAAATACAGATGCTTGTAATAAGCAATCTCAAACCTGCGACCATACTTAATTTTAATATTTATTTATATATTACGAAATGGAAGTTGTAATAATTTTGTACAATATTTTTTAAATGGCCATTTTGTAAGCTAATTGCAACTATTCATATTTTTATACGAAATATTACCTTTTATACAAAATATACAGTTATATTAATATACATACAATAATGGTGTCCCCACCAACTAAAATTAAAATAATAATTACCAATAACAACTAATAGCGACCGAGAATGCGTAGGAATGAAGAAAATATCTTAAGGAAGGTGTTACATATGCATCTGGATAAGAGCAGAGGAAGGCCGAAAAAGAGATGGATGGACTGTCTAAAGATGATATTGCAAGAAAAGAAGTAGATAAGGAGATGACTGTGAACAGGGATGAATGGAAGAGAAAAACATATTACACAAATAAATTGTATAAGGAAGAAGCAGATAATGAACCAATAACAATCAAGGTAGATAAACGATGTCCTTAGGGATATTAAGAGAGTTCTAAATTTCAATGCCAGGAAGGTCGTCAAAAATCTATAATAACTACAAAGAAGCTCTAATTTCACTTGAATGAGCTAAAGTCGGTTCCTTTTTGTGAAAACTAAACTTTGAATTCAGTGTAATTCTAATTTAAGAATTACGTTTAAAGAAAAATTAATTAATGCCTGTGTTAATGGTAAACCTTGTTAATCGCACTTCTTACCAATTAAGTAGGTTACTTCAAGATAAATTTGATTAACCGAAATTCTAAAATTCTTCCTAGCGTGTATAGTTAGAAAATTTAAATAAGTTCACAAGATATTGTAAATTATATCAGAAGTACACCAATAGCTTTATATATTTGCAAATCATTTGGAAATGAATCAATATACCTACCATATCTATGTATAGATATGGTAGAGAGATCATACTATGAGTAATCGTAAAAGAATCCTGCACAAATTCATAATAAATTATTACTAGTTAGTGTCCTCAACAATCCTAATTTAGTACAAACATTTTTATTGCCTTATTCAAGTCCTTTATTTGAAATAACAAAATAGAGCTTGAATATACAAGAACTCCAAGTTCATACTTAACAAACTCTTCAAGTTATCTCAAAATACCACGAAACAGTCTGTTTGTGGCAATCGTAAACGCATCTACATGTGACGAGAATAACAAATCGCTTTAATGTTATGATTTATTATATTAATAGTAGTGGGTAATGGATTTTCCACAAACTCTTTACTAGATATTTCATATATATCACGCCTGCTTCGTTGCTGGGAGGCAGAGACCTAACGTGAAGATAGAAACATAAAATAATTACAATCGTAGTAAACAACTACTATTTAAATACAGACACATACATTTTGTTAAAAATGTGTACACATTTAAAAACATTGCGCACAAGTTTGTGAGTATCAATGGATATTTGTTACTCTTTCACGCAAAAACTACTGAACGGATTTTAATGAAACTTTACAGTAATATTACTTATACATAAGGTAATCACGCAGGTGAATACGCGGGCACAGCTGGTATTATACATATATTCGTCAGTATGAACAGGACTATAGAATATTAACTCACCTGATCATTCTGATGAGATGCCGCCGTCCGCGCCGCTTCCCTCCTCAATTGTATTATCACCCTCTCTTTCGATTTTATTTCCTCCAGCTGGGAACAATAGACAATAAATTCTTTAAAGTACATAGTAAATAGAGTAGACAAGAAGTTATGACCACGATGTAGGCTTTGCTGCTGGGAACCAAACCTGAGTTTAATAAACTATTAAACTTAAGTTTCGTTTTTATTTACTAGCAATAATATTTATATATGACGCAATATTATTTTAACAGTTTTTACGAAAATTGCGCGGAAAAATATTATCATTCAAAATGATAATATTTTTTTAAACATGCCTAAAAATCATTCATTAATTTATAAAGAAAAACAGACACTACCAGTATTTGACACACACAGCATTTGGTCAAATTAAGAATAGATTCATATTGTTTGTATTTAGTATTATTTGTCTCTTACTCAATATTAAATAATATTTTGTATATTTACGATTGTCTGTGAATACCAACTGTATTCACAGACAATCGTAAATATAATTAAAAGTAAGTAGTAGTAATTTACACCAAACCTTGAAATGACATTTGTTACTTACTCTACAAGTAAAACAAATTTATGTTTACTAATCTATGAATATAGAGTAGTGTCATTAATATAATTGATCCTAGAGATATATATGATGCCTAATTTATAAAAATATCAAAGCTAAATAACGCCTACTTTATAAATTTAGTTTTAGGACAATTAAGAAATATTGCTATTACATTTATACAGGCGATGATTAAGACTTTCGATTTTCTTTAGTGTTTTTATTTTATGTATATATTGATCTTTGTATATATTTATATGTGAAGTGTAATAAAGAGTTAAATAAATAAATGGATATTTTTTTCAAATTCATGCAAAAACGAGTTAATTCTAAATCTATTCTAGTAAATCTCTTCTTATTTGTATGCTATATTTACGACAGTGCTGAACATTTATTTATGAAAATAATAGCAAACAATGTTTGATTAACGGATCATCTAATGAAAGTTGCATCCTTCGATTATCAACATGAGGAACGCCAAGGACATACCGTTGGTACCTTTGGTGCTCACTTCGCGTTGCTATTACCACAGAAGACATTATTACATGCTATTATATATATATTACCTACAGTATATGCTTACTGTGACCCATATTGTCAATTAATAACATGTACATAGTGTTGGAACTTAAATTTATATCTGGCCGTTATTGGTAGAAGATAATTTGAATTTTGTATAAAGAAAATATCTTCTATTGTTCGTAAGATTTTCTATTGACATATCGTATGTGAGCCTTGTTACTTTTACCAAATATATATGTTTTACTTTCTTATTTCACTATATTTACTGCCGCTGTGCATTCTACCCCTACAATGGTTATGGGCCCAGAACAGGCCAGAATAGAATAAATAGATGTGGAATATCAGTGAAATAGGTGATTTTTGGTGAATTTGAAATTCCGTTGTAAAGCAGATATGGCGAACCCAACTATGAGGATTGAATCTCTGAATCGAGAAAATTACGACTGTTGGAGGATTCAAGTACAGGCATTACTTATAAAGAATGATGCCTGGCGATATGTAAGTGGGCGTAAGCCAAGACCAGTGGATGTAACAGAGCTGGAGAAATGGGAAACGGAAGATGAAAAGGCGCGAGCAGATATTATTTTATGTATGAGTGGCAGTGAGTTGCGGCACGTACGAGGGTGCACTACTTCACGCGAGGTATGGCTTAAGTTGGAATCTTTGTATGCTTCGAAAGGTCCAGCGAAAAAGGCAACGTTGTTAAAACGACTGACTCTACATAAAATGGTAGAAACCGATGACTTACGAGAGCATCTGAATGGATTTTTTGATGCAGTAGATAAGTTGGGTGATATGGGTGTAAACATACACGAGGATCTGCTCTCCATAATGTTATTATACAGTTTACCGGCGAGTTTTGAGAACTTCAGGTGTGCCATAGAATCCAGAGATGAGGTACCCCATCCAGATTTTTTGAAAGTTAAGATCTTGGAAGAGTACGAGTCGAAGAGACAAATGGCGAATCCACCAGAAGGGGTGCTGTATTGTCATAGTAAAAAGTATGGAAGATCGTTCGTTAAGAATAGAAAGGAAAAGACAGATTTTAAGTTTAAATGTTATAAATGCCACGAATTGGGTCATAAAGCCAAGGACTGTAAAAAGAAGAGAGAGACTCAAGGAAGGAACTTAGCACAAAACTTTGTTAAAAACTATAGTCTAATGTTATATAATGTTTCAGATCCAGAACAATGCAATGCTTCCAATATAATGTGTAAAAACGACTGGATATTGGATAGTGGGTGCACATCTCATTTGTGTAACGACCCGCGTAAGTTCGAATCTCTGATCAACAATTCGGATAAACTAAACTTAGCTACAAACCTGAGTACTAATATCAAAGGTAAGGGCACTGTTTGTACAACAAAGTAATGAATTGGTAAAATATAAACAATAGGAGGTAGAGTTTAAAACGAAGTGGCCGTATAAATGAAAAGAAATTAAGTCCTAGTTTTTAGGAATCCCGGTAAGTCGGTGTATGGGTTTTTCGGACGTAGATTAGGATAACCGTTCATTTTTAGTTACATTTTTATTTCAGATGGTGCAAATATTAGGTGAAGGTCATAAAAGCAAAGAATTGTCGCGTAATCGACGTGTGAGGCTGAGTATGTGTGAGTTTGTCTGAGGCGATTGAAAGAAGCTGTTAAGCTTAATATTTTATTAGGTGAAATCGGACAATCTAGGTACTATACATGCCGATAACTAAGGAGCGCTTTACTTCGCGTAAGACCTCGTGTGTATCATGCTTGCAGTAAACATGTTGATATTAAAATCACTTGATCAGAGCCGTATTAAGGGACAACGATAAGATAGAAGTGAGACATGTACCTATTGAAATGATGGTAGCTGATGTATCCGTAGATGGACAATCTATCCGTAGATGGAATATCTTCTATTGTTCGTAAGATTTTCTATTGACATATCGTATGTGAGCCTTGTTACTTTTACCAAATATATATGTTTTACTTTCTTATTTCACTATATTTACTGCCGCTGTGCATTCTACCCCTACACATAGGTATAACTTTTCTACAATTTTTTGTTATTTTTTAATTTCATATTATTAATTGACGATACATTTCTGTTCTTTCTTTTTAAGACCAAAGACTTAGGTGTTACGACTCCATATATTACAATTTACTGCTATATTTTAAACTTCAAATTAGAACACAGCTAGTAGCGCATGCTATTTGGCGGAAAAATAGGTAGACTGTATTACCCATACAGACGACTCTGTATTCTATAAAACATATTCTTACTTTGACGATCTCGGTGGTCTAGCGATCTGGCACACCGCTTTACGTCCGATGGTCGCGGGTTCAATTCCTCGCACGGCACAAACATTTACGTTCATCAGTATGATTGTATTGGTCTGGGTGTTTTCTATGTAATTATAATATGTATGTATTTACAAAAAAAAATATATCTATGTATGTGTATCAGTTGTCTAGTTAGTACCCATAACACAAGCTTTAGCTAGCTTAACTTCGGTCTAGATGGCGCTGTGTGAATTGTCCTGAAATTATTATTATATTATTATTATTTGATATATTTATTCAATATCTTCTTCGACATCGAATATACTTTTAATTAATATTATTGACTTCTAGTTTGTTCTCATACTAATCTAAATATGCATAAATATTAGTGATATTTCAGTTGTTCTCAAAATCATTTTATCTTCATCTTCATTACGAAGTCTAACAAGGCTGCAATAAATTATTAGGACATCAAATAAATACAAATATGCAAAATCGCCTCCACAAATACTAAAATGACAAAGTACAAACCAGTTTGTGGCACTGCGCGCGCGCATCTTTCCGCGCAGCCTGTTCCAGCGCTGCGTGCTTAGCCGCCTGCGCACGCAGTTCGGCCGCGCGCGCGCACTCCGCCGTTTGAGCAACCTGCATAATATAATACAGACATTGTAAACTAATTATATCTTAATTATATTAAAATTATAATAGGCAAAGTTTGTAAGTATGGATATTTGTTACTCTTTCACGCAAAAACTACTGAACGGATTTTGATAATACTTTACATTAATATAGCTTATGCATCAGAATAACATATAGGCTAAAGTTTTTCATTGAAATTTATATATTGAAATTTAACGCGAGTAAAACCGCGGGCATAGCTAGTATGCAATAAAATCGTAAATAAACATAATATTTATACATATATATTTGCATGTGTATTGTCCAAATTATCATGTACTTATATTTGTACCGTCAACCATTATTCTCTGCACCACCCATGGTTGACGCGTAGATATTGCTGCATGGTGTTAAGTCCGACATGCACTTTGAAATTATGCATTGAGTTTATAAATAAATATTTACATAGTTCAAAATTAAATCGCTACTGCTGTCTGTTCGCTTCATATTTTAAAACACGCAACGGATTTAAAATGCAGTTTTTAACAACATACACCCATATACACCCGTGTATAGCCGGGGTAGGTTTAATATTACGTTTTTTTTTTGTTTTGTGCAGGATAATGGGAGGCCTATGTCCAGCAGTGGACGTCTTCCGGGCTGCGATGATGATGATGAATGGCAGACAAAGTTTAATTAAATTTTATTTTTACTTACGTGTTATCTATCTCATAACAACTACCCAATTTTATAAACATGCTAAAGTAAACCACTGCGACGAAAACTATCATTCGTAATTGATAGCATGTTTCTCTTGCGACACTAATTGACAGGGCTTCAAGAACCGCACAATGCCAAACTATGGTGACTTGATGTCATTTATTAATGAAAACGCTCCTATTAATATAAAAAGGATCTGCAACACTTCAGTTAACTTCTAAACATTCACACGTATCACACGCAATGTCCCAAGCTTTCCAAATATTAAAAATGTTAATTCTTCTTATTACATTATTAATAAACAGTGCCAATGGTTCTGATAACACAACCAACGTTTTACAAGATGAGATCTTCGCGTACCACAAAGAGACAAATAACAAAATAGAATTTGCTAGTCAAGTGGTTGAAAAAATCTACAAATCATTCAAACAGTGGTTCTTCACGATTACATTTTGTGAATTCACATACTTCGAGAACAGAATCCTTAAATATACTGAAACAATGGATTATGGATATCCTGTATTACTCTTAAATGGTTGTCCAGACACTAATACATCGAGAGTGAAACCTAGAATCAATATACATGGGGAGACAGCGTATGTCATAACATCAAACGAATTGACTCTTGATGTGGGTGAATATATTATACAAGCTCTTGTTAGAACCGGTGTATTCAAACCAAGAAGTGCTGTAATATTCGTCATAAATGTTCCTGTAGTAATGGATAATTATTACTATTTCTCTATGAAAAGTTTCTTTCAATTTCTATTGTCACGGAGTGTAACTAATTCAGTTGTGATGCTATGGTCAGATCAATTACACATGTTTTCTTATAATCCATATTCAAATCAGTTAAAAGACATCACATATATTAAAGATGTAAGTCTTTTCTTAGCGAATCAATATCATAATCTTTATGGTTACAAATTACGTTTAAGTGTATTTGAAAAGAAATATCTTACTAAAGAAACTGGGCCAGTGACTTGCTCGGCAAGAATAGCGAAGTTAGTAATGGGCAGATTAAATGCTTCCTGTAAACCTCTTGCACCTAGAGATGGAAATACAGTAGGAGATCTTTTAGAGGATGGCACTACTACAGGTGTTACTAGAGATTTAATTGATGGATATACTGATTTGGAGTTAAATTCACGAATACTTAAGAATTCATACTATGGTTACATAGATACAACTTATCCTCTTATTCAGGATGAACTATGTTTTTTGGTTAAGAAATCAGAAAAGCAATCTACGTTTATGACTACTTTGAAACTAATATCTATAAAAATGGTTATAATTTTTGTATCCATTGTCACCGCTTTAATACTAATATCACTTTTGGCTCGAAAAGTAGAAAAAGATGTATTCAAATTAAAAGATGTTGAAACAACTGGAGCGACTGTGATGGTTTTGATAAAATGCTTCATAAGACAAACTGCCGACATCAAGTTCATGGGTTCGGTATTCAGATTTATGACACTGATTACTATCATGTACTCACTTATCATTGACTGCGTTGTTGATGTAAGTATATCATTTAATAAATTAATTTCAATTTTAAGTATATATTTTGAGGAGTGAGTATGAAGGTATAATATATTTTCAGGGCATTCTAACGTCAGCAGTAACGTATCCAAGATATAAGCCAGAAATAAATACATTACTGGATGTGGCGCAATCAAATTTGACCCTCGGAGTCCACAATAGAGATTATAGATTATTTGAAAGGAGCTTATCATCCGAAAATAATGTTTTACATAATCCAATAGAAATATTTGATGACAACAAAATAAAGAAGGCCCTTGAGCAAAGACAATTTCAATATGCGATACTGATAAGAAAATCCGACGCTGTTTATATAAGCAGAAAATCTGAGAACATAAATAACGGGAGACCATTATTTCACACGGTGCAAGAATGTCCGGTACCTTGTTTCATTGTATATGGTTTACGATATGGCAGTCCATACCTTCCAAGATTAAATACACTTCTAACCTACCTAAATCAGGGCGGAATACTTCAACACTGGACAGAATCTGATGAATTTACACTCCATCAAAATTTATATGACAACACTTACAAAGAGCAAAAGCCACTGCTTTTATCTAACCTTAAGGAAGTATTCTTTGTATTTCTATCAGCCTCATTTATTAGTAGTGTTGTTTTGGCTTTGGAAATATTATGGTACAAATATAAAAATCAGTGATTGTTAAAATTTAGTGCAGTGTTATGTTATAATCATTGAGATTAAATAAAATATACCTTGAGTTTTTCTTGAAGACCCTTATTCGCTGATTTCAAAGACTGAATTTCTGTAGTTAACTTCTTAAGCTCTACTAATCTATTACATGACTGTGTCTCATCACTTGCTTTTTCGGGTTTCGGTGCTGTTCTGAGCTGTTTCTCTAGAATTTCCTCTTTCTTTCTGTACTCAGTCTTCAAATTCCTAAGTGTGCTGTCATGCTGTGCCTTAAGCGCTCTGACTTCGCTCCGCTCGATGTCAAGCGACTTTTTCAAGGTTGCATTATCAAGTCTTAACCTTTCGACCAGGCTTTTTAATCTGTTTAAGAACGCCTCGTCAACTGTTCGCTTGTGTTCCTCAGAAACTACGGCGGATATTTGGCTGCTGGAGGTCGATGTGTCGGTGGACGCCATGTTGTGGCGTCACCAACTTCGTTATCTCAATTCGGGACGTGTCCCGAACGTCCGCGGTCTATAGCCTCGTACTGAAATGTACGGATTGCTTTGCTGTCGTTATTCGATCGGTCTCGGTGTGGGAAGTGTAGCCAATTCTGAAATCAAATAAATTTTAACATAATAAATCAATATTAAGCAACTCCTAAATGTTTAGGCACAATGCGATGCTAAATTGTGTGGGGCATAATTTTAAGTACGCCGGCCGACATACGTAGAATACTGTTATTGTGATTGTTACAGTTACCTACCACTTTTAGACCGTCAGCTTGTTCGCCATACTTTATTAAGTAATAATAAAGTCATCTAAAGCGACCCAGTTCCAAACTAAACTATAGATACTAAATAACCGATGGAAATACTGTTATATATTTTTTACGAAATCACAAGTGGTGGTCTAAATCGCCAGAGCACCAAGGCCGTCAAAATAAAAAAAATATAGTATGTATTTAGTATAACAATATATTTTAATTATTAATGAACAAGAGAAGTTAATGAAGTTTTATTAGTAATAGTATACTGTAATGTAAAAAATTCATATTAAATGGGTGAATTGCCATTCATCCGAGTTTTCACAGATTTCTCCTCGTTTAAAGGGTGTCCAGGTTGCCTTTTGGCTGGGTTTCATTTGTAAATCGGGTTTGAATATTTTAAAGTTACCGTGCGCTTAAATTTAAATTACAATGAATCTGAAATAATAATTAAATAATTAATGATCGCCGTTCTGTTTCGTCTCACCGCATAGCATCACATCTAGTTATCATCTCTAAATTCTAGTAACCAGGACAAGAAATAAGTAACCCCTGTAGTTTGAAACTTAGGTCCGGACATGATACCTAAGTTTTTTTTTATATTATATATATATAATAAAATAAGACATAGTATAAATAAGTATAAATCAACTGCGTCAACCAATTCTGATTATTATTTCAGGCATATAAATAGACTAAACTTAACGATGCACAGTACCTCTATATCATATACACCATAGCATAATATATATAACATAATACAGTAATCTTTCTGACATGATTATGTAGGAGATTAATAGATCGTTGCTTTCAATAATAATACGCACTTAGACTATAGCATCGTCAAAAATAATGACAGCACCAACTGTACCAGTCCAGTTCGAAATTTGGAAGTTTGAGTGTATACAAATAAAAATAGAGATAATCTTTATTCAAATAAACTTAATACAAGCACTTTTGAATAATCATATTTTTTATTCTACCACTCGGAACGCAGATTCATAACAAGAAGAATGAGCAAGAAACTTGTGTGTTGCTCATTTGAATAGTATGTAAAGGACAATCTCAAGAATTACTGCATCTATCTGGAAAATAATATTTTGGTCATCTTATAGATGCATTATAGGTTAATACGGTTATATTTGGGATGTCGGTGATATGTAACTGGAAAGCCTAAAAATAACTATTATACTGGTAAGATTGTAAAACAAATCAAATCAAAAATAATTTATTCGTGTAGGATATATAAGCCACTATTGAACGTCAAGATTTTTGTGTTAATATTTTTAACCCTACTCCATTTGTTTCTTATCGATGGTATTATGTGTATTTGTGTAATGTAGAATTTAATTTTTTATATAAGAATTTATAGATTATAGATGCTGTTCTATTACCTTACACCATTATTTTGATATAACAATTTTATAGCCTAGCCGGCCAATAAATTGTGTATTACAGTGTTAGGATCAAAGACCCGTGTATGTGATTTTATGCCTCTGATAAAGCATAAATGCGGCAAACCGGTCAGTCTATAAAGTTTATAAATATAAAAAACTAGCTAACCCGCGACTCTGTCTGCTATGTATGAGATAAAAGATAAATAAAAAATAAGAATATAGAAAATTATATTTGCGTCTACAATTGAGAGCTAATTAGTCGTGAAAGGTTAACAGATAGACAGTCATACTTTAGCATTTATAATATTAAGAAGGGATAAATTATCAGTACTGACCCTTCAGCAATAATTACTTTAATAGTGAATTCAATTTCATTGGTTAGATATATCTCTGTCGCGCATCTCTCTCATTATCAAACTCTTTTCGTCATAGATAATGAATATAACATCAATTACACAAACGACAAATGTAACCATCAAAATCATATTGACTGTTACTGCACGCATAAAATAGAACAAGACAGCAACATCCTTCCTTTTCTTCATTCGCATGCATTATATTATAGATATATTCGTTCACTTATCTAGTCTCTCCGAAAGCACAACATGGCTGTTTACCTTAATTCTCATGTCGAAAAATAAATGTATTCATTTTATGATCTATTTAAACAGGCCACGGCTTTCAACATACAAACTGCGGGAAAATTATGAATGATTTATCTTGAATAAGTAATCCCATTGCGCTACATTCTGCATATATAAAATGAATGCTGTATTTCAAACTATAAATTCTTATGTCAACAAGCGAGATATAAAAATCACAAATGCGTAGGTTGCTAGTACTCATGTTTATGTTAAAGATTGCACCTGCAGATCCTTGAAACAGAGAAATAAATTACTCAACGATTTATTTTATCATGTAAAACTACAATAATTCTCTTGTGCTCCAGTTACAAAGGGTGAAAAAAAATGGCTGGCTCTCTTGTTATACTATGTGTGTATGTGTGTGTGTATAGGTGCTGCTTGTAGGGACTTGTGTGTTCTGATAACTATGACTGATTGGGGGAAAGTGACTGTTATAATTAATAACCCTATTGCTAGCAATGTATGGTAGATTGCTAGCAAATACCTCCACGTAGTTCCCCCTGGAAACCATTGTGATAAATTCCTAGTGAATTTGCCACGATGGGCTAACTGACCTGACCTCATGTCTATCTTATCATCCTCTACTGGTGCCCCGAAAAGCCTTAGCGCAGGAGAAAGCACGATACCATTATCATCTCTTGAAAAAAAACTATTAACTATTATAATTATTTACTTTTGCCAATATTGCTATTTGGCAGTAAGTATTCACACACAATCTTAAATATATAAGAATGAACAACATTTATTTAAAAGACCAACACGCAAGTTTATTTCTAGTTCTCCTTGTGATGAGTCTGCTTTCCGAGGAAGCGGTACAATAAAACAAATATTATATGTCTATTCAAAAGTGCTTATATTAAGTTTATTTCAATAAAGATGATTTCTATTTTTATTTTAGTTGTATTAGTAAGAAGTAGGTCAGTAGAATGATAGTATAAATCTATCTATGATTTGTATTCAGAAGAAAATCAGGTCATAATAAATTCCACATCACGTCAGAACGTCTACACCTATTTATGACCACTTTATTTTATTGTCCTGTTTCTAATTATCAGGATAAGAATTGTAGGAAAGGATGATTGATAAATCACAGGAAAAAGCAAATAAAATTGGTTAAAAAGGCTGTATATTATCTGAAGATAGACAGACATAATTTGGGAAAAAGTTTTGAAGTAGCTGCCCCGGCTTAAAAATGTAATTTTGCGTAAAGATTAAAATAAAAAAAAATTGTGTAAGGTTTAAATGTAATTCTGTGTAAAATGAATATATTTCAGTATTTAGTATTTTTATGTATTTTTCCAAGAACTTTGCGGTCGCATTCGATCGCATTTTTAGGTCTTCCTTTGTACAAGATGATAGGTGCAAAGGACAGGAGATCCCCAGAACTTCGTAATGCGACGCGCATTCTATCGCATTTTTATGTCTTCTTTTGTGCACCCTATTTCACGTTGTATCTGAGATTGCAGTTGAGGTATACCCAGGTGGGCCATTGAAGGTCGCCTTGGAACATAATTCCCATCATTACATAGTATAATACAAAGTCGCTGTCGCCGTCTGTCCGTCCCTATGTATGCTTCAATCTTTAAAACTACGCAACGGATTTTGAAGCGGTTTTTTTTATTAGATAGAGTGATTAAAGAGAAAGGTTTATACATATAATACATGTATAGCCGGGGCGAGTAGCTAGTTATATATAATCATAAAAAAATAATACTACATAAAACGTTTTGAGCTACAATAACATTGGCCGTTCCCAATATCCCTTAATAAGCACTATACAGAAATAGTACGCTCATTTAAAACGGGGCGCGTTCAGTCATTCGGCGTTGTGACATCATTAGCTAATAACAGTACCACGCCACTTGTAGGCAGGTCTCGGGAATTTGGTGTTAATGTGTCAAAATTTTTATATAGAAAACTAGCTGTCACGGCAAATATTGTTTTGCCTTAAAATAAAAAAAAAATTAAGGGTGGACTACCCCTAACATTTAGAGGGATGAAAAATAGATGTTGGCTGATTCTCAGACCTACTCAATACGCTCACAAAATTTCATGAGAATTGGTCAAGCCGTTTCGGAGGAGTATGGGAACGAAAACTGTGACACGAGAATTTTATATATAAGATAGTAGGCCTGAAGTGCTAAGAACTTTGTGAGTTTTGTATGTATTAACATATTATGTAGAATTAAATTGACGACCACAGTTGTCTAGTAGTTTAGCACACAGCGTTATATCCGACGGTCGCGGGTTCGATTCCTCAAACGACACAAGCAATCATACTCATTAATACACATGAGTTTATTCTCATAATAATTTTTTTTTTTTGTATTGTATTGTTGTTAATAAATATGATTGTTTGTATCGGTCTGGGACTTTTCTATGTATATTATGTATGTAATTACAAAAAACTTAATTATTTTTCTATCACTTGTGTAGTATCTATAACACAAACTTCTCAGTCCCAAGCTAAGTAGAGCTGACGTTATGGGTATTAAACGACAAGGGATATCATTATTTTTATTTATTTTTTCTAAATGCATATATAGAAAACACCAAGACCTATACAAAAAATCATACTTATGAATAAAACAAACGTTTGTACCGTGCGAGGAATCAAACTCGCCACCATCAGAGGTAAGGGGTGTGCTAAACCGCTAGACCATCGGGACCGTCGAAACATACATTTACAAAAAAAAAAATGATTCAGATACGAATTCGTGAGCTCAACTTGTAAATGAATTTAGGAGTATATGAATTGAGGAGTCCACAGATACTCATATATCTCAGATCTTGATGATGCAGAACG